ACAACAGCTAATCTCAACCACACCTCACACAAATGCCACATGCAGCACCACGCTAATATTAAGAAATATGTTTGTGCTTTTACTTTAAATTTTGGTAACATTGAGCGAGTTTGAGAGCTTACAAACTTTGAAGACTGTTGGAATAGCAGAAGTTACACTTGTGAATGGTGTAGGTTTCCCTGTAAAATGTGTATTATTATGTGCGGTAAGATAATTACTGCATAATATTAATAAGATTATTATTTTAATTAATTTATTTATTTTTAATATTAATATATTATTGTGACACTCATGCCAGGCGTTATTGTTGTTGTTGTTGAGTTTCCGCGCGCCGATTGCTTTGGGCCGGGCCTAGTCAAAGTCCAGGGCCGTTTTTTAGTCCCAGTCCGTCCCTGGCTACTGTAGAAACATTGCGGTTCAACATGGCAGACTTAAGAGGACCTGCTCCCTCTTAGTGTGGGAGGGTTACTTTACCTGTTAAATTACCTAATTACCTGTTAAAATGTTGTCAGTATCCTCATCCATGTATCACAATATTAAAGTAACTTGATTACTTTCTATTACTTTTGGATTACCTCAACAACAAATACCCAATTAAAGACGAGAAAAAATTTAAATAAAAGTAGTGATTTAAGTGTATTCTATAAGACAATGGAAACCAAGAAGAAAATTGATGTATTTAATGCAAGGAATTACTATTCTTCATTTATGGTGGCAGCAACATGCCGTAAAACTCATGAAACTCGGCACAAAGTTCAATGTTACGAGAAATGTACATATTCTGTTGGGCCCACACATACCTACAATCCCACCATACCGCAAATCCAACAGGAAGTCATAGGATTGACTTCAGATTTAATCAGTGCTATCCGAAGACCATGATGATAAGTTTTAGTCAAAGGAAGTGTCGGTGGAGTGGCATTGGATTTCGAAACTAAATTTGTCATACCTTTATTGTACTTGTAATTGTCCAATCCATACCAACCTTCAGTTGGCTAAAAAGAGTCCCGTCCTGAACACATCTTCATGCCAATATTCAGTCATAGCGCCATCATACTGAAAAACAAGAAGTTAAAACTTATAACATATACACGGTCCAGTGGCAATGAAACTTCACGTTTGATAAGAGTCCTACCCTGAACACATCTACATAATAATTACTGCTTGCAGCTTTAATTCAAAATTGTAATCCTGCCAATTGTAATCCCAATTTTTACTAAATGTAACTGTAGTCTGAAAAAACTGTAATCCATTAGTTACAGAAGAAAATAGAGTTTTTGTATCCTATTATGTAACTCATTTACATGTAATCCATTACTCCCCAAGTGTGCTCCCTTTGTATATAAAAACAGCTCACAGTGATTCTTATTATATACTGATGAAAACAGACCTATGGATATTATATTCCATTTCTGACAACAGCTCCTCCTAAACACTGGACCTTTTTAAGAAGCTGCTAGTAAACCAGCAGCCACAAATTACAGCAGTAGCCATTACCAACAGGGATTGCCGTTGACTATTCAAACACATCACTGAGAAGTAATGTTCATGTCCCACAGCAGGGAGCCATACACTTTTCTATGGCTGTGAGGATGCATC